AAAAGGAATTAGAAAAGGAGTCTCCAATGGAGTCCACGGAAGATACCCTTACAACTTAACTTCTAACCCTTTTTTTTTTCTTTCTAACATATATAAATTTAGGGAGGAGGGATTTTAACTTGGGCACCTAGGAGTGGAGACGCACCTTCCATAAAATTTATAGTAATAGCCTAATAGGCGTTTTATGTTAAGTGCCTTAATTTTTAATTAAAATGTGCACCTTTTATAAGATTTATAGCTGATTGATTTTCTTGGCCAGTTGCCTTAACTCTTCCCTAAACTATACACTTCTTAATGACCGGTGTTCAAGTCCATTATAAATCACATTCGGCCCCCACAATTGTTCCCAAAATACTTCAGATCAAAAGAAAAACGAAAATAAAAGCGCACAACTCCCAATGTCAAAAAGAAAGTGATATGACATAAAAGTATTTGCTGTGATTAATTTTAATCCAAAGTAATGACATAAAGGTATGTGCTATGAGTTTGCATCTCCGCTTTGGGTTTAATAATTTGTTTTTAAATTTTAGTGTTTAAATTTAATTAATTAAAAATTTTATTTTTATTAATTATTTAAAAAGTTTTTTTCCCCTTAATTTTTAATTAAAATGTGCACCTTTCATAATATTTATACTTCATTGACTTTCTTGATCAGTGGCCTTAACTTTTACCTAAACTACACGCTTCCGATAATTACTGGTGTTCAAGTCCACTATATATCACATTCGGCCTCCACAATATCTCCAAAAATACTTCAGATCAAAAGTAAAAAAAAAAAATGGCGCACAACTCTGAATGTCGAAAAGAAAGTGATATGACATAAAAGTATTTGCTGTGATTAATTCTAATCCAAAGTAATGAACCAAAGGTGTGTACTAAGAGCTTGAATTTCTGCTTTAGATTTAACTATTCGTTTTAGAATTGGAGTGCTTGAATTTAATTAGTTAGAAATTTGATTTTTATTAGTTATTTAAAGGAACTTTCCCTTAATTCTCTGTGTTTAAAAAAAAAAAACAAAAAGTATATGCTATGAGAGCTTATGATTAATTTGTTATTTGGTTTAATAAAGTTAATGAAAAAGTTAATAATAAGTAATATATATGCTATAAAAGTATATGGCTTGATTAATTTGAGTAGGGGTTCAAGTTCGTTGTATCGCATTTGGTCTCCGCAATAGCTCCAAAAATTCTTCTCGTTATTCTTTGCACCTATTGTTAATCATGAACCTTGAATCCATTGGGCATGTGCACCTGGAAATTTATGCCACCTTTAGGCTTAATATTCTTCGTTTCTTCATGCGCTTGTGGTGTTTGCTAGGGTATTTGTTTTGTACTACTTTTGATTTATTTTACTTGTCTATTGAATCACTATACATATATTCAGGTATTGTTTTATATACTATATAAATAATAATTATAATTTTCTTATAAAATGGAATTATTTAATAAGGATTATATATTAAAAAATTTAATTATTATTTATATATTAAAAAAATATCACAAAAAAATACAGATTGCGACTGGTAAAATGAAGCAGTATTTGGCTGCAAAGTTCTCTCTATGGTTCTTAACTAGTGGCTGTATCTGCACTTCTTGTTCTTTTGAATGTGCTTCCAATCCGTTAATTATGATTTTTTTTCTCAAAATATAAAATTACTCTACCCTGCCAAATATCGGACGGGCTTTTGAGGAGTACATTGCCAAAAAAAAGAAAAAAAGAAAAAGGTTAATCTTTTCGTCAGAAATCATTTTTATCCCACTTTTTACGAAGTAAAAAGAGTTTTTTTTTTTTTCCAGTATTTATTGTTGGAGGGTTTCAAATCAGTTTTAGTGCTACTAATCCCTCTTTAGTTTATCTTAATGACATGCATTTATATCAGTGTAACGTATTTAAATATTTAAATAAATTAATTTTTTAGTGTTTGCATCTAAAAACTTGAACTCTTAATTTATGATACTATATTTATTTGTTAATAAATTTAACTTTTA